TTCAAGTGAAAATTTAAAATAACTGATCTGTAACAGTGAATTTGAAATGCAGTTTGAATAAGTAGTGGGAAATATACAAAACGCAAAATGGGACCATATTCTAACGATCCTGAGGTATTTGCAAAACTCAGACTCCAAGCCAGATTTGAGCCCCTGATTACCCTTGCCGAGCGCCCACTGTTATCAAGTACACCACTAAGCCAATCGTTCTGTCATTCCCTTTGTAGCTTATTCTTACCCTAACAGCGTCATCAGCAGCGACTACAGCTTCAGTTTAAATGGGTTCATTGCCAATTTGTGCTCACCTGATTACTCCCGTTGATGGATGGTTGCTGATAGTACCGTTAGGTATAAAGCTCGCTGAGAGAAAGGCAAAACAAAGGCCTGAGTGGTGCAGCGGATAGTACGTGAGCGCCCTGAAGGAGCACTCCTGGCACGATACTTGCCTGGTGTCAAGGTTTAGCAAGTACGTCAGCATCATTGTGGTTATATTGCACATAATACCTTTCCAGAAAGAAACAATGGACAGTTAATGAAAACTAGACCGCATGGTGTGGTTGTGAACGCGTTACTCCTCCCCGGAAAGGAAAATAGAATGTTCGTTCCACACCGTAGACACTTGCGGTCTGGAGTTCGGCAAATATCTCAGCAATCTTGTGATTGTATTGGAATTAGTGTTGTTCTATGGACGAAGCCTAACATCTACAACATTCTACCAAGAAAAAAACCGCAGTAAGGAGTTAGAAAACGAAAAAATCGATGAGCCACATTGCCGATAATGCATTTTACTACGACACACTTCCTACGATAGGTGGAAAGTCATCGGCCCGGAAAAATTCAGAGTATGTATGTGAGGTCGGTTAAGGACAAACCTATGATCAAAAAATGACACTGCTATTTTTGCTATTGTTAACATTTGCTAATTTCCCTAGAAAGCACAAATCAGACTCAGTCTCGGTTTTTCACTATAACCTTAACACCTTCGTAAAGTATGTCTTCTATAATAAGCGGAATGCCTGCGGCGCACGCAGTTCTCTGCTCTGTCACCACGTCATAGGTCGTAGACCAACTCCTACTTCGTTGGACGGCTGCCTTCCTCAAACGAAAAAATCGTTCATGGGTTACGTCACCATTTTTCCAGCAATACCTTCTTTTCTGGAGGATCCTCACCAATATACACTTAGGCTCTACTTCATATTCAAATGTATATTCAAATGCTTTCAAATGTATTCAACATTAAAACGATTCTCGAAACCATTTTAAAAGATCTCCGCCCTCTCATTCCTTCTCCTGACAATTAATATCATTGGTTGTTATGTTTTTCCCAATCTCCACGGTTTATCACAATTATAGCATGCGAAAGACGGATAGAGGAATGTGTACCAAAGACCAAATGCTGAAAGCATCGTAGTGGCATGGCAGCACAGTTTCTTCTTCGTTACCAGCAAAAGATGTAATCGTTCAATAATTGATATTATAGAGTGACTTAGAGGACAATATTTATTTAGATACTTGGATGGCTCGTCTTCACCGGTGGTGCGAGCCACAGAATTCCACTTATTTCTAGCGGTGGTCTCCCTGGAACATGGTAAAGTTCGCGATGAACGTTCCGAATTTCTCAAATCGCTTCCATATCTGAATACAAATCGTTGACGTTAGCCATGAACACGCCCGCTCATCGTTTGGCTGGTTTTCCAAGAGAACGCTCGCATTCTCTTGTAGTCCATTCAACTGTTCTTCTCGTCCTTCTCTCATCTGTTCTTCTTACTAAGTGACCGGCCCATCTGTGGTTCGCTATCGATATATATTCTCCTGGATTCCTTAGATAGGATAAGTTTCGAAGATCTGAGGTACGAATTCGGGCAAGAAGCTGTGAGTGCCGAATGAATTTTAGGGAACATCGCTGAGGGGCTTTCTGGGTGATGCGCAGATTTCTTCACATGGTCGAAGTATCAGCCCTCATTTCTACTGCACAACAGCGCACTGGGTGAGCTGTGGAACCGAAAATGTGAGCGCGGAGTTCTGAGTACGCTAGTTTGTCGGTGGCTTCTTTAAGAGGCCCGAATGCGACCCATTCTGCTCTCCTTTTGTCTCGTTCTTCCTACAAGTTATTCTCCATGTTGATTGAACGCTCAAGGTACACTAAGAGGATAATACGATATGAAAATTGTTGGAAGTACTGGTAAAACAATGGGAAAAGGGCATTTATTCGAGGAAGTTGGACTGCCCGCCATGAATTGTGCTCAGCACATACGACCAAGAATTATGCGTTGGTTAAATGCGGACGCAACACGGGATACGAAGAAATAAAAGCTTGTCTTAAATGTTAATGACTAAGCAAAGAGGAACTCCACCATTACTTAGTCACTACTAGTTTTTACTTCTAGTTACTACTATACTAACTACTAGTTTTGTTAATGAAACAAGAAGTTTACGTTTGATTCTAAACGGAGCAAATTGATTGAAACCACTTCTTCAACCTATAATCTATTGGAAGGAAGCTGTTCACTCAAGCAATAGGACTAGTATTCGAAGAACCTATTTCCCTTTAACTTTGGTATGACTAATTAACGTGTATTCTTTCACTGATAAGCTAACATTTTGATTATCGGCTCTGAGAAATAAACAGACGTTGAAACGTCAGCCGAACAAGGTTCTTTTTTATCAACCTTGTGTATCAATGAAGGAATACAATAGCACCATTTTGAAAACAACAAGTTCTACAAATTTTCAACATGATCTCTCAAGAAAGTGACACTTATCTACGGCCAACTTGCACTTCTACTCTGCCAGTCATTCCTTCACTAAATTACAACGACTGCTCCAACTCTCCTATTTTACAGTGATTCTGAGATATTTGCAAAACTCTGGACGGCACATGTCTGCGGTGGTGAGCGGACGCAATATTACCCCTTCCGCGAGCTATCGCCTTCACCACCACACCATGCCGGTCTTTCCTTTCTCCTCTCTCTCAGCTAGTTTCCTATCTAGCAGTGCCATCAGCAAACACCCGTCAACGGGATCCTATATTATTTCAAAAACCGACTTTCCTTTAACGTCTGCATGACTAATCAAAATGTATTCTTTGATTGAAAAGACAACATGAGCTTGACAGAAATTCTATTCGGTTAACTTTTCGAGGCATTCGGATCTTCAGATTCGGATTGACTTGACTCGATTGTCCACAGCTGGTCGTTGTCGTGATGTAGGTGAATAATGTAACCATAGTTGAAGGAAAGCCAGTTTTTGAACTATTGTTAAGCTTCGCGCTAGTTGATAATGATAGATGCAAGGTGGATTGTCTAATGTGAAACATATGATTATCAACGGACGATGGGTATCAACAACCGTCCTGTATAAAAGAGCACTAGTGATCAAGGGTACATCATTCGGGCACTGCTCCACTGTACTCGACTCGATGCGATCGCAAAGAAACATCAGGATGAGGGACATCTGAGGACAATCGATTCGGACCAATATCACCCTGAAGAAGACGAAGGCCTGAAACTGCGGCCAAATAAAACTATCATCCTCGCTCTAACTGCTCCTATTTCATGTCGATCTCAAAGATCAAAAACTGTGTACACATCAGGAAGGTTAACTTTGTTTTAATTGGGAAGCCAATTAACAGACCGCAATTGCTTTTTATTTAAACCCGTTCTAACGTATTGTGCAATCCCCAGCAGCGCCGCTTTGTTGTGCCCCTTCATCAATGGTTACATTTAGATATGCATGACGATTGCGCTGCAACGTGCAACGTATTCTCCTTTCCGTGCATGTTGTTCAAATCTTCTAAACATGATCCTCAGTGGAATTCCGGAATAGCACTGAAAAAGCGTACCCAAGTTTTCACCGCAGACACTCTCCAAGTTTTTCGGATATGACGAAACATTTCACATGTACTCTGATCTAGAACCAACACAAAGATGGTGTGACCAAAGGGTATATCGTCAGCAAAACAAAGGTTTGATAAGCGTTCATCAGCAATGTTTATACTTTTTTTCACAGCCAAACAAGATTATTTTGACGAGATGTCGCCTGTTAATCTCGTTTTCCAATGGGAAATTAGGTAGGCGATGGGAAAGCTGCGTTGCTGTGCTATAATTGCGACAGAACTAACTAAGGTTCTGAAGCGGATCTACTACTTACGTAAAGAACAATTACAAGAAGGCATTGCTCCTGATGATCTCAAAAGGTTTCTTGTATTCGACGTATCTATTTAATAGCATGCCTCTAAATCTCTGTAGGTGTATACGGATTTCCAAGCATTAATCGACATTCCTACGTGCATCATTTTAGTGGTAACGGTCACTCTTTGAAGGTTAATGGACTACTGCCACTTTGTGATCACGACTTTTTGAGAATGGTGATATCCACGACGGGTTTTTCGAAGGTTTATCCTTCCGGATGGGTATCGAACTCCCGAATGTAGAACGATCGTGATAAGCCAAAATGAGAATTGAACCTTCCGTTGTACCTTGCACTCTAATACCCAATTTAAGTAACGCAAAGGTTAATTTAGAACAGCAATAAATTCTTACGTAACGTAAAAGCGTCACCAAAAGCATATTTAAGTGCTGACAAATTCAGATTTATGTATGAAATTGTAAACCTTTGATTAAGAGACGACCAAACTAAAGTCTCGATTGCTGAAGTTACAAATTGAGGAAAACTGATATTACAGTTGATTCTAAAGTCGAAATTTCAACAACGTTAAAACCAATGATGTACACGACTAAAAGAGTGACTCGTGATGAAACACATTACATTCAACATAGTATACATATATAATTACGACCTCAAGATCATTTGCTTACACGTCCAGTATATATCGAGTGATGTGGATCCAGATTATAAGAGGAGAAATGATGTTTAAGATAGAATACAACAGTTGACATTATTAACAGAGGACGAAGAAGTCTATTAGAATCATTAAGAATCACTTGCGCATATAACTACCTTTGGAGATAGAAGCGAGGTAGTGGTCCGTTCGTTTAGTTTTAGTTATCTCGATCACACACTTCTAGTTTTTCCAACATAGACGTTGTCTTACGATCCTGAATGAAAACAAGTAAAAAATGTTATGGAAACATAAAGTACGAAATTTTTCAACAAGAAAACTTCAATTACTACACTATCTCCTTCACACGGGAGCGTGTGGAGGAGTAGTCGGAGAGGCCCTGCAAAATAAACAGGATCGATCCCGGCCCCCAAGGTTCACAAACCCTACCATCCTTCTAGGTCGGCAAATTGGTACCAGATTTGTCTGGAAGGATAGCAGCACTCGCTCAATACATCGGTAGTCTACCGCAAGTCATTGTAAAGGCCAGATATGCATTCAACCACCTTAATGAAGTCGAATGCATGACGCATCCTTCAGAGATTGATCAACGCCGAGAGATCTCTTTTTCATCCTTCACAAAAGGATTGCACACTATAGGAGCACACTATCAAACATAATTTCTCACTGATTCTGAATATTACGCAGATAAAACGGCAGGCAATTGCTTATTCAACGGTGATGAATTGCATTCACAGCTTCAAAGCTAACAACGAGGAAAAAGTAGTAACCTGTGGAAATAGTCAGCCACGCAAAGCTTATTACCTAATGTGATTGATGATAAGATTACGGGAGACTATCAAATACAAAACGGTCTATCACCAGTAGCATAGATATCGAAAAGCTTTCCAATTAAATAATATTAATGAGTAAAAGCACCTCCTCTTCTTTAACGAAAGCACCGAAATCCTTTAAGACCTCCTGTTCGTCGAATGACTGATCTTGTTCAGGATCATCGAGGCCTGAACATATAACGTACAAATCTTTCCCAATGCTCGGCCGTTTTATAACTGAGAGAAAATGGACCATCTATTGCGTTAAACTGTGATTCCAGGAACGATCGTTCTTCTTCATTCAATTCCAACGCGACGCCATCTTCACCAACAATAACATCAGCTTCGTTGGACGGTACAGATAATGAAGAAGAAGACGGAACAGCATCGGATGCAGCTCCACTTACTCGCGGAGTCACACCCCATCCGTTTTTACGCAATTCAACTACACTCATTATTTGAGTCTTCACCGACCTGCAAAACATGCAGCACCTTTCCCAAATACAGCATAAATAGAAAAAAGGGACTAACTCGCTTAGTTGAGGATGACCCTTTGCAAACGCGACTAATTTTGTAAGTAGTTGACTGACAGAAGGTTCCGTGGCTTCAGATGCATCGAGACTGCGCCCACAGAGCTAACAAAAAAAAAAAATGTTGGAAGTCGTCAATAGTGATGAAAACTACTACTTACCTTTACAAGTTGGACGATGGTTTTCATAAGTTGATCGTTCATTTCTAATTTAAGCAGGTCATCAAGCTGCTCCAGCAATGCCTCTCCAACCTTGTCTATACGTCCTCCGCTGTCCTGCAGTATAAAATTCACAAATGAAAGAGAACTGCAATAACAGTTTGAAAAATAATGACACAAAAATAATGGTGGCCTGAGTCGTTGTAGAGTCCATAGTAAGGCTTTGGAACAAAAAATTACACTTGCGTTGCTGCATGGTACACATTGCTCTAAAGTTTACTTAATGCTCAGTGCTTTGCCATGTAATTTTCTAGTAATCAACCCATTCGCAATGACGTCTATTTTCTTGCATGCATAACTATTTACTATGTATTACCACGGCCCATCATGGAAATATACTGCTGTCATCATTTGGAAGAATAGGGTAGCTTGTGTTGTCTACTTTTCTACTCTTTATACCCGCGCATTCCACACAATGAGGTGTAGCGAAGAAAATGAAATGACACTTAGTTGTTAGCCAAACTATCGATCAATGAAGTTGCCCGAAAAAAAGCTCATTGGCAAATCTTCAAATCTATTGAATGCCTTTTCTCCTTTCATTCCTCCTACGTTGATATGCTTTTGATTAGATATCGAATGAATACACAGTGCGTAGAAGCCCAGTGTAGAATTAATTAACAACAAACCCGGAACACTTGAATAATGCACCCAAATGATTGCCACCACTTCGTCTCATGAACTCAACTTGGTCATACTGGTGCGAAAGCAACTCGATATATTGTGAAAGCATGGAGCCACGGGAGTGCTACTCAACATAAAGTACGAAAATGGTTCGCGTTTTGTGGAGGCTATGGGATAAAAGTTTCGATGACGAAGGTGGTAGGCGTCCATCGACAGTTTAACGACCTGAAGGCGATGATTAATGCTGACTGTCCAAACAAAGCGGACAAGTTTCAGAAAAACTCGAAGCTAACTATTCAATACCTGAGGTGTCGGGCTGCGATGTACAGCAGGAACATTCATCCCACGAGTATGACCTCCCAAGCTGAGAAGGGGTCCGGTGTCTCCTATAAGGGTAAAGGGTAAAGCACCTAGGGGTAAAGCAATACCTATCACTCCTGGTATCAAACTAGTCGCGTGGTGGCAAATCTCCCTCTGATCCGCATCGGCAGCAAGTGCCCGTGGAGGTGAACCTGGGGCAGACTTTGCCTAGGCTGACCTCGGGAGTGCAGAAAACTATAGCGGTTAAACCAGCAAAACTCCGAAAAATGGAAATTATGCTAAGGGCCCGAACAAGAAGTGAAGACAGGCCATCCAAATATCCAAGTAAGTGAATAACTTCAACAGAACACAATAAGAACGTGTTCTACAGTTCGACAAATGGGCCCCACATGAAATAAATAAACAGGAGTCCGGCGCTTCGTTCGCGCTACGAACAAACTGTGTCATCGCCCGCACCTCGATGTTCGGAAAGTGGATCCTATGGCTCAACCAACGATTTTCACTGCAGAAATAAGACCGAAACGAGGCCTTTAAGCAGGACTGAAATCCGAATCTGCGTCAAATGGAAAAAATAGCGACTATTTGACGGCACACAGCCGGACTATTCTACTACAATATCCTAAATTCAAGTGAAACCATAATGTCAGTATTGCAAAATCGATCGAACCCTTTAAGAACTGCAGCTTATGCACAAAGTAATTGTCAAAAAAAAATCCAAGCTTAGTGGATTACAACGCTTGAGACGATGCACTACTAGCGCTGCAGAAGTTGAACAGAGTTGAAGAAATACATGTTTCACCCACTCTCACCGCACCTCTTGCGAACCATCACTCTCTCAAGTACATCGAAAATTACTTCGGTGCATTTGGAATAAAGAAAGTTATACCTCCTTAGAAAACAAGGGGTGAATTCTTGCAGTTCTTACTTTAATTGACAAATCAGTGTACGCATCCACCACCGTACTGATATCAAATTAGTCGCCTGGTGGAAAATCTCGCTCTGATCCACAAGGGCGGCAACGGCCAGTGGTGGTGGCGAGCTGGAGCAGACTTTGTCCAAGCTGACTTAGGTACTCCAGGAAAACACTATGGGTAAACCAGTTAAACTCCGAAAAGTGGAGAATACGCTGGGAGAGCAGAACCAGTGAGGACGGGCCATCCAAATATCCAAGTAAGTCAGTAATTAGTGTATGAACCATGTCATAGAACTTTCTGTTCAAAATCCGCCAAAATTTTTGAATCAACCTAATAATCTTCTCATTCTCACTCAAATGATAACTACATCTGAAACAATCATATGAAATTATTTTGTGTTTCCTTAACATAATAAAATTACGGTCCTTAGCTCATGTAGCACTACTCATTTTTATAATGGTATTAAAACAATTTAGAAAAAAAACGAAATTTTAAGGACACAGTGAAATCTTTGCTAGATTTACTTCCGTTCTTCTAACATTTTTAAAAAGGTATACGACTAGTATTTGAGCTGCTAGGAAAACATAAATACCGTCTCGATCTTTTCATAGATTTCAGCGAAGAATATAGACAAGTTTACTCTGAGATCAGGATTGAACGTATGACGTTTACCATGAAAATCAGAAAGCAGTTTAAGCACGGCATCACGTATCAACGATGGAATCTAAAACACATATGTGGCTTTTTTTTTTACTTTCAACCGTTTCTGAACGAAGGTATGACACCTCTGCAAAGAGATAACTTACTTCTGAAGTCAGATAAAATAAAAGCCGCGCCAGCGCGTGCTGAGGATTATTTCCTGAGAATGGGCGAGGAGCAACAGTCACAGCCTGATACAAAGGGGAATAATAAGAATAAACCAATGAAACATCAAACAAAATTTACCATCTCGAAAATCATATGCACAGCTACCACCCTCGTAGGCGATGACATGCGCTTTTCGGTCATCCTGTCACGAATTGCCCCAGCCCAGGAATCGAAATCGTCGGTATCGCTTAAAATTTGCTCCAATCCAACTTGTATCTGAAAAGTGCACAAAAGACAGAATAAGGGAAATACACAATGATACAAAAGTAAAAATATACTTCTTGAAGAGAGACCAGATTATCACTATGAACCATGTCTTGGTGAAGATCATGCGAAGGGATGTACCTAAGCATTTAAGTGATAAGATCAGATTGACGCATTACAATCTCGTGACGAAAAACCCACTCTTCTGACACGGTTCCATTCGAAAACTGATTGTACATGGCCTCGTATGCACGGACATCAGCTTCGTCGTTCTGATAATGTGGCATCGTGGGCCCGGATTGCTGCAATAGTGCTCATTGTAAAGAAAAACAAAAAATAAAATGTAAAGTGCAAAAATCTGTAAATTCTTTCGTATCGAAAACCTGTCTATAAAACCTCGTATTAAGAAGAATAATAAAAATTGGATGTACTAGCCATTGCGCCCATGAATATTTGTTATTGAAAGTGCATCAGACAGAATGAATAGGAACTTTCTATGATTTCTGACAAAGAGAATTAGTATGAGGTTAGTGAGCTGCTCGTATAGAAAAGCTCTTAGACTTTTAACCTTCTCTTACCCTAGTGGCGTTGCCTTATGGTAAACATATTTTTTCCACCAAAAATTCTGAAAAACATAAAACTTATGAACCACTATAATAGCATTTCCACGCACAACGGGCAAGACAGATCTTTAGAATAATTTGATAATTCTATGTAGACATTTGTGGTAAATCTACCAGCTATTTTGAGGTCTTGGTTTTTCTACTGCTAAGGTGGCCTAACATAGAGAGAGAGCGTGGTCTAAAAAGATGATCCGTGGGAAATAGTTCGGAGTTATGAACGAGGCCGAACGAGTGCAGCGGAATGAGAATATTTACGATCGGGCAGGTCTCAATCCATGGCGATCGATTGTAGCGAGTTCGGTGACGATCGTCGAAACGCGGCGCTCTACAAACAAGATCGTGTAGTGATTACATAAACTCTCGTGATGTCGCTAAGGCTCTCGAATCAACATAGAGAAGGGAGATGGAAGAAAACTGATCCATGAAACTAAGTAAACAAGCTCTGAGGAATGTGCCGCATCGAAACAGCCGTGCTACCCATAGAAGATCCAAGAAAAACTAACAGTGAGTTCTAGCACCACAAATATGCGGAACATTTCTCGATTGAGTTGTGACTTATGGTGGAAAGAATATCCTGAACGACAGTTGAAAACATTCAGCGCATTGTCTCGACCGATATAAAGATCGTATACCAATCTTAAAGAGGTAATCATCAAAAAGGTAATGCTGACTACTTGATGATCTGCAAACGGTCTTACCCACAAGAACATTCTGAATCTCGACAAAACGATTACATCGGAGAGATACTGTGAGTTCTTAGTACGAGTACGTTTGACCCGGAGTTTCACAATGTTTTAGAAGTTTGGTCCAGCCAACATGCTCACAGGACCAATCGATTACATTTTCAAGCCTCTCAACAACTACCAACTGAGAACATCTTCAACCAAACCAATTGCTGGAAACGCCTTAGAAGAAACTGTTCCTTCCTGAACGTCAGAATTTATCTTTAAATGTTGCTGCTAACAAAATAAATTCGAGTACTGGTGGTAAAATGTAAGAATTTTAACGGCTTTTACCTTAACTAATGAATTTGCTTGAATCGAGTTCCAGAATCCTTCACTGTTCTTGCATCAACATTTATGGTAATTAGATGCACTTTCTATGCCATACGCATAGTTAAGTAGTGCTATTCTATATTACTTCAGTACCACCGTATAAAAACAACTCAAGGATAAAACTCTCGGCGTCCATTAATTCCTGAGAATTCCATGCATTCGACTTCGTTAGGCATCGTTTGGAGGTGACTGAATGCATACCTCGCCTTTACAATGACTCGCGGTAGCCTACCGATGTATCCAGCCATTGCTGCTCTCCTCCCAGACAAGTATGGTACGAAGTCGCTGACCGCAGAAGGACTGAAGGCTCGGTGAGCCTTAAGCGGCCGGAACGATCTCATCTGTATTGTAGAGCGCCTCCGATCACTGCTCTACACGCGCCCATGTTAATATCACCATTGCTGCGGGAAATATCTACTTCCGCCCAGTAAAGCTCAATTGTAGGTATTGTAATTTAGCCATGAATTTATTTACTATGGACAAAACTGTTCCAAATTGATGGAATGCTACAGATCACGCCTTTATAGATAGAAACCGAACTTAGAGGGCTACTGAATATGCGATAATATAGCTGAATCCAAATAAACAATTCTCTGTTTACAAATCAGTTGAGGCGCACACAATCAATTTGTAACCACCTGTACTTTATTTCAAGCACAGTGTACCCGAAATCCCTACTTAAAATAGTCGGATAATAGAGATGGGAATAGTAACCACACTACTTTAAATCCTTCGCGAGATAAGGAATTCTTTTTCAATTAAAACAACTCTCACGAAGTCAACTACGTGATTAAGCTACATTTAGTTCAATCATAATAAAGTTCCCAACGACTTAGCACTTCATCGTCGCTGGGGGATATTGCTGAGTCCTGTTCTTGTCGAACTGCGATTTACAGCGGGAGGATTCATTCCGCAGGATCTCCCAAGCTGAGGAGTCCGGCGCTGCCATTAGGAAACCCAGCTAAGGGTAAACTAACACAAGGACCCACAATCGTCCTGATATCAAACTAGTCGCATAGTGGCAAACCTCCCTCTGATTCACAAAGACGGCCATTGCCTGTGGTGGTGACGACCTAGTGCAGACTTTAGTTAGGCCGACGCCGGGACTCTAGGGAACCGCAGCTT